TTTGCCTCATCGCGACGCCATCGGCCACGAAGAGACCGTACGCCGACGCTCCGGGCTGCCCGTTTATGCTAATGTCAATCGTTACCGCGCATTTCGAGGCAGCCAACGATCAGATAATCGCGGAACTGCGTGCAAGCAAAAGATCGCAGTTCCTGATCGTATGTAATTGAAGACTTCCTCCAGGAAACACAGACAATCGAAAGTTACCGGGCAATCTACACCCCCTAAACGAACATAAAAGAACACGCGACGTCTCTTTTAAGTAGGCACGCGAATTAAACTAGAAGATCCGTTTGAAAAATCCACCAAAGGATGGAACAAATCGCTTTGATTTTAATACGAGCCTTCTATGGTCGCTCGTTCCGCGATGAAAATATGAAAGAGTCTCGCAAGAAGTCGCTGGTCTTCTTATTTTACCATAGATCTGACCTTGAATGCCCGAATCTCCTTCGACCGCTAAAGTTTACGGGAAAAAGAGCGCGGATATAATGATCACTAAGAACCGATCCACTTGCACAGTCCGAGCGTATCAGGTTAACAAACATTCAGAGCCAGCCGGAGGATTGCCCGCAGTCTCTCGCGTCAAGTTCGTCCAAAAATCCTGCGCTAGGCCCTTGAATCCTTTTTAACGCGTTGCGCTCCTCGAAAAGAGGAACTGAAACGCACAGAGCCCGCGTATTAACGCGAAGCCGTTTCTCTAAATAGGGGGGCACCATGAACGGGCGCTGGCCATTCGAGCATTTTCCCGGCGTTTATAATTTGAAGAAATGAAAACCGTCTGGAGGCAGCGATTCAGCGAATTTCCCGCGGATGTTTAATGCGAACGGATAAATACATCATCGCTCGATGGCGACGATGCGAGCCGGTGCCTTCTTGCACAATCGTCGTGCATTTTCGTCGAAAACTCCTGGCCGCGTTCGCTTTCTCTTATTGCTGCCCGTGGAATTGTAATTTCGACTGTTGGAATTTCAACGATGACCCATCGAACTGTTTTATGGCCCTTTGTGAGGGTGAGCCGTTGGCGACAGAGGCCCAGGTCGGCTCAGACGATAGTCAGTTCAAAAGTAGAAACCGAACCGTGAGGTTGCCACCTCGGGATTTCACCAACACCATATTTTCTGTATCTCTGTAGTTTTGTAATATATCACCATCATCTATTTTACTGGATACGCGAATGTTCTGGAGTAGAATTTGTAATTCTGAATAAAGTGCTTTTAAGTATCATTTCATTNGCGCGGATATAATGATCACTAAGAACCGATCCACTTGCACAGTCCGAGCGTATCAGGTTAACAAACATTCAGAGCCAGCCGGAGGATTGCCCGCAGTCTCTCGCGTCAAGTTCGTCCAAAAATCCTGCGCTAGGCCCTTGAATCCTTTTTAACGCGTTGCGCTCCTCGAAAAGAGGAACTGAAACGCACAGAGCCCGCGTATTAACGCGAAGCCGTTTCTCTAAATAGGGGGGCACCATGAACGGGCGCTGGCCATTCGAGCATTTTCCCGGCGTTTATAATTTGAAGAAATGAAAACCGTCTGGAGGCAGCGATTCAGCGAATTTCCCGCGGATGTTTAATGCGAACGGATAAATACATCATCGCTCGATGGCGACGATGCGAGCCGGTGCCTTCTTGCACAATCGTCGTGCATTTTCGTCGAAAACTCCTGGCCGCGTTCGCTTTCTCTTATTGCTGCCCGTGGAATTGTAATTTCGACTGTTGGAATTTCAACGATGACCCATCGAACTGTTTTATGGCCCTTTGTGAGGGTGAGCCGTTGGCGACAGAGGCCCAGGTCGGCTCAGACGATAGTCAGTTCAAAAGTAGAAACCGAACCGTGAGGTTGCCACCTCGGGATTTCACCAACACCATATTTTCTGTATCTCTGTAGTTTTGTAATATATCACCATCATCTATTTTACTGGATACGCGAATGTTCTGGAGTAGAATTTGTAATTCTGAATAAAGTGCTTTTAAGTATCATTTCATTCTACAACATCGACTCACACTGTCGCAATCGAGAATAGCATTTTATTATAGTACACTACATTTAAATGCCACGCGTAAGTTGGCAAAATTATAAGACTATACTTGACCCTCGAATTTTCAAATTGAAAGTGGTAAATATCCATTTCAATTGTTTCAATCGCGAGCTATCCTACACGCGAAGAATTCAGAAGTCAATCAATCCAATGTCTCCAATGTCTCTCTGCAGTTCTTTATTGTGACAAAACCTTCAGTTGATAAGGTTATTCTTCTACACGTTTAGATGTACCGTTATATTTTCACAACCAAGCTTCAGAGAACGTAATTATCTCAATTTCTATGCTCGCGGACTTACGTATGGCTTCTAATGTAAACAGTAAAGATGATACGATAGATTTCCGACCACATAATTGGCCATAGGGTCCTCAAAGTTGTGCTACCAGATGACTCCGCGCCAATGATTGGAACGAAGGACCCGGCGCGATCCTCGAGGCCAAAGTACGAAATCCTGAAGCGAGCCAGGGATCTCGCGGTGAAAACCGTTTTCATTAATAACGGGCCGCGTATCATTGGATCGCACGACGTAGATATCCGCGCAGAACCGGTCGGAATGGGTCTGGACATGCGAATCTCCGCAGATAAGGGAGCCCCGGCCGAGTAAATCAGATCCGTCCCCTTCGCCGTCGCCGCGCTGTTCTGAAAGTAATATACCTAGAGAGACAGCGTGGACAATCAACCTTGAGCCAGCCAGCGCATTAAAGCTAACGATCGCCGGATTCTAACCGGCGTTAACGAACCCAGCGTCAAAACGCGATCCCTCCCCGTAGCGTAAATATCGCGCATTCGGCCGGACACGATCCGCAACATTCAGACACCTTATCTGCTGCAGCGTGTCGCGACTGCATCGCAATCGATCTCAGACGCGGCTGGCGAATTAACACGAAGATTGTCGCTTCATACGCTGTTAATACTGAAACCCGATTTTTTCGATTGCCTTATCTTAAGAACTAGAACTGTTACCAAGGAACCACCGCATGGACCACACCACGCACATTAACACCTAGATTGTACTGGATGATAAAGCTTCCTTGAAAAATCAGGATAGATCACAGGTTTGCTGGTAATGATCCAGTTTTATTCAAAATATTTGATGGAGAACGAAGAATTCTGTATTTGTCGCTTTAAATAGCACTAGATATTGTTGTGCTAGATAAGTAATCACATCTAATAGTATAAATCAATGAAAATTGAATTATTCATGGTAGCTAAAAGGACACGCAAGAATAAATAATTTTTAAACATTTGTTAGAAGAAAACTGAACGACGTAGAATGGCTCTATACAAGATATATGAGAGTACAGTTCGATATGTCACATAAATTTTTGTCGCATACTTCTTTCAACGAGTTCGCTGTTTTCTCGTCGTGAAGAAATTGCAATATTTGCTGTTACGACGAGTTAAATTTCAATTTTAGTGAAAAATCAAATGTATTCGCAAATTTTACGATGTTTTGTATATTTGGAGGCCAAGACGAAATGGAACGAGCAAATAAAAAAGTATAAATAATCATTGCGTAAAAACTCTTATGTTATGCGAATAAATCGTTGTGTTCGTTCCTTTGCGACACACATGTTAGGTGCACACTTTTCGGAGAGGTCGCCACAGCTAACTGGTTAATGGTGCTTATTACAGCGGCTGATTTAATAAAACGAGTTCCTCGTGCGCAATAAATACCCTCTATCTTTAGTAAATACAGTATCTTTAATAAATACAACAAGTTCCTCTACCCGTAATAAATACCATTAAACACCATTAATTACGTCATTTAGTTTTCCTGTAATAAATTCCTAAGTATGACCTGTTTATTACCTGTTAAATGCATTAACCTTTTCTTGTCGAGCGTAATTCCTCGGACGGTGCAAGAAAAAGTGCAATTTGTAGAGGGTGAATTGACGAGCGAGCGTAAAGCTGAATATTCGATGTTGGATGCGTATTGTCTTGGGGCATAGATCTTGAGGGATTTTGCTTTATGGTACACCGTGGCAGAAGGTCGAGTGCGCGTCGATGATTCCTTCATGCCTGTGCACACGCACCATGAGAGATGACTAAATCACGCGTTGCTTTTTTTCCTTTCCTTTGCACATTGGTTTCGCGATCGACGTAACGGGTCGTCTTACCCTGAAAATTGCAGTCCTGTCTGTCCAGAGCGGCGCGATCCCCTCGATCACTGCCGTAGGATCCTGGTCTACTGTTACAGCGCGCAAAAATGATCGCAATTGCGCCAATAAATCTTCCGCGCTAATGCCAGCCCAGGGAGAAACAGTTATCAGATCCTCGAGATGTAATGGAGCTTTAACAATTTTCCCGGCTATTATCTCCGGCGCTCATTAACGATTCGTTGAACTTGATGGCCTAACGGGGTTTCCCCATAGGCTGGTATTACTATAACAATATATTAGCCTCCAACATTTTACACGGTCGTAACGAAGGTAATGCGTGCGGCGAATGAAGAAATTTGTGTCAATTAGTTTCCGATGATTTTCTTGGAACTAACGCTACCAGATGGATCGGAACGATCCATCACGGATTAAAGAAATCATAAAAGCGACCCTCGAGGAATCTAGTCGACGCATCTGCTAGCATCGTTTATGTATGACGTCTGTCTCCGCGTGATAACTATAACTACACTGCTGATTTTAAGCATTTATTCATGTTCATCTGCTTCAAAAAAAAGACTTATACTCTGTTTTCATTAAATAAGCAAGCATGCGGATAAATTATATCATTTTCTACCGAACTAGTATCTACAGCAGCATGCTCGTTTAATAATTTTAAGAAATGTACGATGCGAGACTCTAATGCTACAGCTAAAATCTTAATATCAATCTCGAAACAACAAATTAATTTCGTTAATTTCATAATGCGTAAACAGGCAGATAAAATACCAACGATTTCCCCAATTGTGGGAAGCGTAACGATATTACACCTATCATCGCAACACACTGAACTCTAAACAATCTATTGTGCGTTCAAAATCATCGTCTTCTCGTGCCTCTCGATAGCGATCTTCTTGATCCTCTCCCACAGCATAGGATAAGGATGAATGGTCCTGGCGAAGTCGGCTCTGTTCAGCCGATACAGCTCGCACACCTCGACAGCGACGACGCTGGCTACCCTGAGCTCGTTGGGCATGACAAGGGCGACCTCTCCGAAGTGTGCGCCATCCTCTAGATGGCATACTTCTTTCCCAGAGCTTGTATAAATGGCAACAGTCCCGGTAGCGATGAAATACATGCAGTCGCCAGGCTGATTGGCTCTGACGATCACGTCATTCGTAAGGAATATCTCGGACTTCAGCAAGCCGACGATCCTCCCGAGCAACGACAACGGAAGATTGTTGAAGAACGTGACGTTCTCGACGAGCTTGCGGCACGAGTGCATGCTGATCTCGTGCCGCATCTGCGAAGACAGCGTGTGCATGATCTCGGACTCGCGGAAGAACCTGCGCTGAAAATGGAACTCGTAGTATTGGATGATCCTGGTCTGCGTGTGATACGGCAGGTGCATGTGCCGCATGTATTGTCTCAGCTGGGCCATGGTAGCCTGGTACTTGAGGCGGGAACTGTTCGTGCCTTTGAAGAACTGCATCACGCGACTGACCAAGATCCACGGCGCCAGGATGCCGATGATCTGCAGCGCGATGATCAGATACAGGTCCGCCATATCAGCGATGTTCGACTGAAGCAGTCCGGACTTGGTGAAGGTGGTCACGGCACGCAGAATCGAGCCGAAGTACTGTTGGTGTTTCGGTTGGCCAAAGAGTTCTTGCTCTATCACCCAAGAGCTGTCCCTCGGCCGCATGGGCTCTCCCATCGAGATCACCGCGTGAGGGATCAACCAGAACCAGCAAGCCTGCCAGTGGAGGCTGATCAGCAGCCAGTAGATCACGATGCAGAACTCGTAGAGTGCCAACGGTATATCCAATGCGTGGACAACTTTGTTGATGTACACGCTTAGGGAGACTACGCGGAAAACGAAGACCAGGGAGGCCACTTTGCGGGCCACCAACAATTCGCGGAACGCGTGCAGGAAGAACAGATCGGTGAGGCAGGAGCCGAATAAATCCGGAAAGAACGTGCCCGATTTTATGTATCGTTTCGCGATCTTCTTCTGCTCCAAGATCACCGTGTGCGTCTCCTCGTCCATGTATCTGAAACGTTGGAGAAACGTTGGAGGTCGAGTTTGACCCGGAAGCAGACCATACAAAGTCATTTACCCTGTTTTAAATTTAACTAGCATGTCCAAGCAGCAGATCACCAGGAGGCAGTTCTTCGAGATGATCCAGGAGTCGTGGTATTTGACCAGTTCAAACGCGGCCTGGTACGGCACCAGAATCATCATGATGGTCATTACGCTGATCATCAAGAAGTCCCAATAGTAACTGAAACAATGTCAGATGTTAGATTTTGGAGAAACCTTCTCCGACCTGATGAACTTCCCGCACGATGGCTACCTGAACATGCTGAAAGGGTGGATAACGTGCATGTAGCTTGTCAGTTGTCGGCGTTTCTCAGAAATTATGAAAGCTGTGCTTCCCAAATATTTTCGGGCAGCTGGATTATTATGGGAAGCCATGATTGACAACCGAAGATGATCGTAAAATCTTTGCAACGGTCCTCGACCTGGAAGAAACAATACGTCCTCCTCCTTTGGAATTTCGCAAGTGTGCTCCACGTGCAGCATGATTAAACGAGATTGATCGGTGTAATTCGACGACTGAAATTCGTCCGAGGTATAGTGGGATTACGCGATCGAGAGATGATATTTATGCGATCGCATTAAAAGCTGCAAGCTTCAGCTGATTACCTCCGCGTCATTGTGGAACTTAACGATTTGTGATTACATATTGCCTGCGTATCCAAAAATAAGTGTTACTAATTAGTTGATGTAAGTTTCTAATCATTCTAATTGTAGGAACCTTTTTCTCTTATTATTGAGTTAACAATTCAACGATAGTTGAACAATTAATCTTTCCGAAAATTCCGGGAAGGATTGGGTAGTTATTAAATTGTTCATAAGACAGATATCGAATAGATTGTTCTTCAAACAATTCAATAGCTGTAACGATATAAGAACAAAAGTTATTGCAATGTGATTTGCAATGCAAAAGCGGTGATTAATTTTTCTGTAGAAGTAGAAATTCGAGCTGATGGCGCCATCAGTGGTGTAACAATCAAACTGGAAAATATATGTTTCCGACGACTGAATGTTGGAACAAGCACAGACGAGATATAGGAATACTAAGTCTGCTCCACTATATCCGAGATATAAGGAGTACACTAAGTCTGTTTAACCTTAACCGTCCTAAACGTACGGATCCTAAGTAATGCATTTTTATTTGACACGCTTATATTAAACAATTATGCGGCTATTCGTTGACTTGTTCAAAAATCCATTTTTAATTTTTTAGTCATATTAAATTGTTAAAAATTTTGAAATTTTGAATCGACGTATTTTTTCATTACAATTTTCATATATATGTAACAATGTCTCTGTTGTCTCCAAATAATATTCAGCAAATAATAATAATATTAATAATTAATATAATTAATATAATTTTAATTAATATAATAATAATAATATTCGTAGTAGGAATGAAATATACAGGATATTCGCTTCTTGCTAACCTGCCTATTTTTCATGAACTATCGGCAATGCTGATCGCGACACGAAATGGTAACGAGGCTCTAGAGTAGAATTGTTCGAGTACTCGCAAAACACGAGTCGGTTATTACTCAGCTCAAATAATCGATTCGAGTCGAGACTGAAAAGATCGAGCGGCTCGAAAGAATCGAGTAACTCGAAAAAAATCGAGGGACTCGAATGTAAGCAAACAATTCAGACGCATGAGACGTCCTGAGTGTAAAATGAACATATTATACATATTACTGCTTTCCTTCAGATACTTTTATTACTGTTCAGGATATTTTCGCACAGCTTTACGAATATTTTAGCAGTACTAATAATGCTTCTTTTTTATGTGTGTGTATAAATAACATATATACTTCTCTTTATTTTATCACCTTCTTCAACATACTTTTTCTTTTTTCTTGTCTTTTCTGTTTTCTTTGTTTCAATTCTTTTTGTCAACAATAAGTGGTCTGTAACTTAAAGGTCGATGATCATTGCAATTATCAAAACTTTGGGTCTTTCCATGAATTGGAATCTACTGTTTAAAGTGTTTAAGATATCAATTATTTTCATCCACAATAAACCTGAACAAATTTTCTTCGAAATGAAAGTAAGAAATAACTATTTGAAATAATTCATTTTGAATCATTATTTTCTATACTGTTATTTAAAAATAAAAATAATATCGATCCATTTGAAATAACAATTTTAAATAATGAATTCTTTCGAATATAAGAAAAAGGTAATCTTCGAAACAATATGCAACAAAACGATCGTATTTTATGAAATCTTTGCTACAATTTGCTTTGACGAAAACTCCTTTCTTATTATCGAATAATTATTTAACATACTCAGATCAGACTTTTTATCTTGCAGAAATGTCAATGAGTATGTTTGCATAAACCAGACTCAGAGTTGATAATTAGATCACCACATAATTTCCAAGATGAATATTACAATTATCTCAAATAATTATTTTAAATAATTGTAAAATAAAATAACGCGTTACTTAAAATAATATTTCAAAACTGATAATAGTAAATTTGCTTTCACTGCTCTGTAATATTTCTATAATCGAATATAAATTCATTTCCACAAATCACGGCTCTTAGATAATTTTTAACTGGCGTCGTTAATAATAAAATAGCGTTCCTTGCGGTGAAATCTCAAAACTCCGTTAGTATTCCATACAGCGCCAATTAGTAAGTAGAAAAACGCTCAAACTGTTAGCCAAATTATCGATTGTCGATAATTTGGCTCTGCCTGATCAGTGTTCTGCCGTTATGCACCGAACGTAGCTTCAGTTTTTCTCCATAAGAAACGCCAGAGGTCCAGAAAATTTAAAAACTTGATTATGCATGCGGGAAGTATTAATTATTGCAAAATTAGGATAAAAGAAATAAAGCAAGGACATTACATCTTTTTTTATTTAGCTATTGAATTCATTTATATCATGTCCAAGAAAACTTCATTTATCATTGCAAATATAAAGAAGAGATGATTTTTGCTACTTTTGTCATAAAATATAATATAAAATCTGGCAAAAGATCAATTGCTGTTGGAGCGATAATGGCACCTCTTATGACGAAAATATGAAGCTCCGGTCAGGGGTCCATCTAGCGCCAATTATCCTAGTGGTAAAATACTGAAACTGGTAGATAAAATTTACAACAGTTGATTTTGTTTAGTAGTTTAGAAAGTTTGAATGGTTTGCCATAGACGATCTTGTCTCTGATTTTGTCATTTACTAATTGGCAGGTCGGATGATTGATTATGTGCAATTATGTGTATATAGGTTATAGTCTTATACATATGTCTATACATATGTTCTTAATTAGTGTATTTTGTCGTAATATATTTTATGTTTTACAACAAAAACGATTTGATTAAGTTTCAGAATTATTTACTTTGCTTGAAGCAACTTATTATAACAAGTATGTCAACCAATAAAGACGAAAAACAGTAAGTTACATAAAAGTGTCAATAACAAATAAGTACCCATTGAACTGTTCATTACCTAGAAAAAATTTATATTTTGTACAAATTTGACAATGATTATGAATAATTTCAGATACGGTTTAATTTTGCCTAAAAAACAACAGCTTGTAGCACCAAAACCTAGCAATATTTTCGGAGATGATAATGATTCGGCTGAAGAAGACGGTACTGATTGGGTCAAAAAAGCACTCAAGGCAGAAGAAGAAAAAAATAAAATGAAGAAGCAAACCAGGTTGAATATGCAAAAAGCTTTAAAAGAAGATCCAACTATATACCAGTATGATGAAGTGTATGATGATATGGAACGTACAAAGAGCCAATCCATAGAAGCAAAAGTAGAGGTCAAAAAACCCAAATATATTCAGAATTTGTTGAAAGCTGCTGAACGAAGGAAGAGAGAGCAGGAACATAGGATAGAAAGAATGGTACAGAAGGAACGAGAAGCAGAAGGAGAAATGTATGCAGACAAAGAAAGCTTTGTTACTTCTGCTTATAGAGCAAAGTTAGAAGAATTTAAAAAACTGGAAGAAGAAGACTCTAGAATGGATCGGTTAGAAGCAATTGGGGATGTTAGAAAGCAGCAAGATATGTCAGGATTCTATAGACATTTATACGAACAAACAATCAAAGGTGCAGAAGAAAGTGAAGTTAAAAGCAGTACACATGAAAATACAACTAACTCGCACAAGAAAGTAGAAAATATATTTGAAGGAAAGAATGCAGTTGTAGTAAATAAGGAACAAGCGACAAATAAAAAAACCAAAAAGATTAGGCAATATAGACAAAGAAAAATGGAAGAAGAAAGCGATACAGACTCACAAGCAGAAGAGCATAAAACAAAAGTCTCTCCACTTGAAAAACAGAAAAGTATGGAAGCAGAAACTATAGAAGAACCAGAGTGTAAGAAATCAAAGGAACAAACTGAAAATTTGGAGGATAATGTAACAAATAATAAAATCTTAACAGAAAATATTTTGGATACTAAGAGTAAAGAAGAGGAATCAGAAGATGGTGAGAATGATAAAGATGAAGAAGCAACCAAGTCTAGCATTAGTGCAAAGGCGAAAATAGAAGCAGAAAAAAGAGAAAGATCTAAAATTTGGGAAAAAAGAACCATTGGACCTGTATTTGAAGCTGCATTACAACGATATTATGCAAGGAAGTCTATGAGGATTGCT